GAAAGTTAAAGTGGACGGAATGACTGAACCTCCGATTATGTCCGCCATCTTGTCTGCCATCTTGAAATTTTTGCCAAGGGGTAGCATGGCCATTTTAGTCAAAATTTTAATTTCCCTCAAACTCATGCTATAGGTTCTATGATCCGCTAAACGAGCTTGTGGCAATTTAAAAGTGGTTTCTAACCCTTAAAACGAGTTACACCCCTTAGCCCACTTTTCATGTGTACTAGGCAATCTTCAAACTGTAACTCCCACCAAAACTCAACTTGAAGCAATGCAAACTACAAACCTAGTACAGCTGAGAAGTTTAAAACCAATCAGTGTCTCCGCGGTAGTTTTTGCACGTCTAAAAGCTCTAAATCACTTTGTTCAAAGAGACGAGGGATTTTATTTTACTTTGCTATTACCAAGGGATTCTTAACGATGAAGAACTCCTGGTTTTGTACGAACAGTACAAGTCTCCACGCTTAGACCTACCGTACAGTGTATATCCAGTTTTCGATCTGGATGAAATGGAAGATGATGAATGCCTTGCAGAATTTCAAGTGAAGAAGAGAGATATACCTGCACTCGCACAAGCGCTTCAAATCCCAGACTGGATTACCTGTAATCAGTGGAGCAAAGCCAAGGGCACAGAAGCCCTTTGTATGCTGCTAAAGTGCTTTGCTTAACCTTGCCAATACAGAAATTTCGAATTCAAAATTGATGGTAATTAAATGCATTCCTGTCTGACCAGCTGTTAATAGATTCCAACAATTGGATAAAAATTGTAAGCGATCCTGCGCACATTGAATGAGTGAATTAAAATATTTAAGCTTAGGTGTTGTAAAATTGCCAGCTTGGAGCTTATAAACACCAAAGCAAAGTTTCTACATGGTCCTTCATAACCCTCTTCATTCCTCAGCTTCAGCTACTTCAATTTCAAGTATTCTTTGAGGTTTGAAAAGGAAAAGTTAGACTTCCTACTTATGCATTTCTCCTGCTGTTCGCTGCTTTCTCCATGTGCACACTGCTTCGATCCTTTCACAAACCCAGCTGCAAAAATAAAGGCAGATTCACTTGGTAAGGAACAGCAAGCTTGATAGATATTCATGATAACTTATTTTAAAAGATGTTAAGTGTATTTTAATAGTTAAAATTGCTCAGGAGAATGTATGAAGTGAAGAAAGAAGTGGGATAAGTTCACGTAGCACAGACTACACTGAAACCTTGCCACTCGCGTAGAAGGATTTCCCGCTATGGCTAGATGCGAACCACTGACCTGCGCAAAGACAAGTTTCTGGACAATTTTACTTACAGTAGACGTAGCAGCGCCAGCCGTAGTGATTTGTTTTAACTCCCAGTTTCCTTCTGTGTACAACCGCGCACACAACAATAGATACTTGACTTATAACTCGTATGCACTTTACAGTGCATTAACTAAAGCCACTTGGTGTACAATAATGAGGTTTATGGTAGAGTATAGGATGTGTTAGTGCAAGCCAGTCACTGAGGGTGGTGTTGAAATATACATCAAATAGGTTTTCTCATAATATTTTTGCAAATATGCTTGTAAGGACTGATGTTTTAGAATTAAAAGTCTAGGTACAATCACATTTGCAATATTAGTATGTAACATTCTTCCTGCTGTGTTCTTTAGACGATAAAATCCCCAAACTTCAAACTCCATTTAAGACGTCGGAGGAAACAGTGAAAGAGGGTCAAGATAAATTATTGACCCTGACAAAAAAGCTGGAAGAGCAAAAATGTATGATTCTAGGACTTGGCCTGGACTACAAGCATTTCTCCAAAGCAAAAAGAGAGAGTAACAGTACCTTGAAAAATATGATCACCGACTCTGGTTTTAGCACGAGATACATGTGAAGAAAAGAAACCAAAAAGGCTCTGACATTTTTACATGGAGGAGAAACTGGTTCATTATATGGTGCCTGCGATTGCATTGCTGCAAATGCCCCAAAGGAACTTATAACCGTGTTTGGGCCGACTAGCGGCCGAATGAACGAATTGTGAACTGGTATAGATTAGGTCACGTGGCTCAGAAGCACATGGTGTGGTTTAAGTGTATAGCTTCGTGTTGGGGACTGTAAATGCCATGCTTGTTGCACTTTTGTTTTTTCCCTACCGTTCATTGCACAGAAAATGTAAGTACCAGGTTCATAATTTCCTTCTACCCAGATCAGTTGTTAATTCAAGGTTTCTTTCATTCAGTTTTTACCGTAGGCATAGATAATTCAAGACAACACAAAATATCACAAATGGTGGAAATGTTTGTACTTGGAGCTTGTCAAGCCCGAGGTTGTCAACAAGTATGAGATGATCGTAATTAAAGCGTTTATATTATTCTACAACTACATGTCAGAAAATCTCTCTTCAAATTGTCCCCAACAAACCGAATCAATTGTTATGTACGAGAGGAAATCATCTCAAGAAAATTTTCTCCAATGCTATGAATGCACATTAAACATAACCTACAGCTGTGAAACAAGCGGTGGCAACAAAGTACGAAAATCACCTGTCATGCAGGAAATAGACTCATGTGTAGAACTCAATCTTCTCTCTTTGACCCAGAGTCAGAAACATGGCTACCCAGGAACATTTCTTGTGCAGGCATTGACTTGAGACTGCCAAAATTAGCATCCAATTCGGTGGTAGAGAAATTCGTGAACAGCTTGAACATTCGACATGTCACACAGCTTCCTGGTGTTGCTGCTGTTTCACGAACTGTTGCCAGACTAGTCTTTTTAAAAATTGATCTTCGCCTAAGGGTTCCTCATCTTTTAAAAAGGCTTGTTTGGTACAACGACCCTGAAAATCATTTTGTCATATAATGTCATTCTTGATGCCAATTTGGATGGTTCCGGAGGCAAGCCACAAATGAAAGAATCTTGCAAAAAGATCGAGGATTTGTGTTCATCATTTGATTTGATTGATATATGGAGAGTCAGAAATCCAGATGTCAAACGTTTTACGTGGAGACAAAAGAACCCAGTCATACAACACCGTCTAGATTTCTGGCTAATTACCAGTAGTATTCAGGAAGAGGTAGAGAATGTAGATATTATTCCGGCAATAAGAACCGATCACTCCGCTATTTCAATGCATATAAATGGGAT